GGAGAAGCACTCAGATTGTCTCAAACTGCGTCAAATTGTTTCAGATCATCACAATAAGGTATGGGGAGGGAAGTGAATCATTCATGTGTAGTATTAAAAGAGAGGATAAGTCCTAAATGTAAGTCACACGAAGCAATTCCCAGCAAAGTTTTGAATGACACAAATATAATACATATTGTTATTTCTAACATGTGTGTTATTGTTTCAGAAAAATATAAGTACAGACAAGTTGAAGAATAGAGCATGTGCCACTTCTTATACTAGAACCAAGATAAAGGAAGGAAAGCTTCAAGCATCAGACGGAAAGGTCAAATGAAGCCAAGTCTAGTATAAGAAGGAAAATGATCAAGCTTCAGACGAAGTGCATTCAGGAACGAGAAGAAGTCCATGAGACCACAAACGAAACTTCTTCAAGTACCAGACGAAGATTAGTCAAGGCAAAGCACAGCATGAGGATCAGACGAAGGAGAGTCAAATGCAAGATGAAATACGACATGAGCACCAGACGATGTTGGATCAAATACCAGACATAGGTGTGTCAAGCACAACATAAAGCGCAACATAAGGATTCAGACAAAGGCTGGTCAAGAATCAGATGAAAGTCAACTACATATCAGATGAAGGACAACATAGACTAAAAAGCATTCCAGACAAAAATGAAGTCTGTTCATCTACAATATTGACCAGACCAAAGGAAGTCAAAGCATTGACGACAAATGCTCAGACGAAGATCAAGTCTTGAGATGCACATGGACTACTAGATGTAGATGAAGACTGTCATGCAAGCATTTGAAGAATCAAGTCTCAATGGATAATTCAGGCATCGTCTACAATCATACAAAGAGCTCTCAATATGATCGCGTGTTGGAAGGAAAAGAAGGAGAAAAAGAAATGCAACTTAGGAACAATATTGTATTTATCCCTATAGACTAAGGAGTTCTACGTGTAACTTAGGAACATAAACCTTAGTGAGTGTAGTAAATCTTTGTATCCTCTCTGTGAGAGTAAACCACACACTCAAAAAAAATTATCTATCATTTGTAAAGCTTGAAGAGGCTAGGAAAAGAATACTTGCACCTCACTAAGAGCCTGAAGAGACTGAACAAAGAATACTAGCGCTAATGAGTGAAGTTAATGGGCCAGGAGTGGTCGATAATCCTCACTAAGAGCCTGAAGAGGCTAAACAAAGAATACTAGCACTAATGAGTGAAGTTAGCAGGCCAAGAGTGGTCGATAATCCCCATTGAGAGCCTGAAAAGACTGAACAAAGAATACTAGCACCAATGAGTGAAGTTGGAAAACCAGGAGTGGTTGATAATACTCGGGAACTAGGAGTGGTTGAGAATACTCACTGAGAGTCTGAAAAGGCTGAACAAAGAATACTAGCTCTGACGAGTGAAGTTGGCAGGCCAGAAGTGGTCGACAATACTCGACAAACTAGAAGTGGTGATAATACTTGTACTTAATTGAAAATCTAGTGGAACCCTTTAATTGAAGGAGACTGGACGTAGCTCAGTTTGAGCGAACTAGTATAAAACTCTTTGCACTATTTTACTCTTCTTAGATGCAAATTTATTTATTTGGTATTTCATACTAGAAATCTTACTCACTACTTATTTCACACTACAACAACTTTCAGACGGAAAACATCTCTTGTTTAACTTATTATTGCAAGAAACACTCTCGTGCAGATGATAAAACTTGCAGACGCAAAACTCTTTTAAATGTTATATTAAAAGTAAATGTGAGATGCATCTTGAGTTTGAAAAAATTAGTATGAAACATGAAAAAGTATTTTATGTGAAAAGATTTCTTTAAACCTTCACACACACATATTCAGCCCCCATTCTATGTGTTTTTCCTCTAAATTCAGTAAATTTCTAAGATTTTCCTTCTTTTGTTTTGATGTCTTGATTGATTATTCAATTAGGTTGTATATTAAATTGTGAATGTGTCTTATTGTATTGTTTGGTAAAATTGATAATTTGAAGAATAATTGAATTCATTGGAATGTCTTTGGTGGTTAAGGTTCTAGAGAAATTCGGGTATTGTTAATTGGTGTGAAAATTTATGAAATCAATGTTATATATTGTGTTTTTGGGAAAAAAATAAGTGTTTTTGACCGATTGGATTGATAAAAAGATGTTTGTATGTTTGATTACAAATTTTGGTGATGTTCTGTTCATGTTGTGCTCTTGAAAATGCGTTGAGTGTCGGGCTTGAGTTCTTAGCGTCGAGCTTGCATTCATACTGATGCATGTGAAACAAAGATGAGGTTATGTTGGGCATGGGATGTACCACGCTGGGTGTAACAAAGTAAATGAGTCTCTACCTTGCCTTAATGTTGGGCATGGCTTATTGACTGTCGTAACTCGAAAATTTTTTTATCTTACAACTAAATGGTTTAGACTACCCTTTTTAAAAATCTCATCAACTTGGGAATGCTTGGAGACTAGACTAATCCTTAAGTAATGGTTTTGAAAATGGATTCATGGAGTTTCCACCAATGTTTTACTCAAAACATTGGGAAAAGAAAAGTTTTTTTTTAAAAAAAATCCAATAATGGCCTTCATAACCAAAATCAGGTTCGGGGGTCGGTTACGTGTAGGAAGGTATTAGGCACCCCTACAACGCCTTAAACTGGTACCCTATGATGAAGTTAGCATAATAATATATAATATTTTAAATATCTTATCCCTTATAATGAAGTTAACATGATAAGAATTAATTAATTAAATACTAGATCCCTTTTTGTTAACGGTTATTTACATACGCGAAATTTAAATTTACACAGTTATTTTTGAAGAGTCTACATATTGATTGTTGGTTGAAGATGATATTTATCTAAATAAGATATATATAAAGGATAGAAACACCTTGTAGTTGAGCTCTTATTAAATCTTCAAGCTTGAGACTTCTTAGGGGGTTTTTGGCCACCTATCACACTACAATTTTCCTCACAAGTTCTCAAAAAATGCAAAAATAAGAGCGAAGAGAAGAGATTTTGAGCTAGATGAAGTTCTGAAGCAATTTTTCTGACCCTAGAAGCAGTGCCCAAGTCTACCATTTTATAAACGTAAGACCTGACTAGAATGGCCCATTCTGGATTCAGAACGACCTATTCTGGGCTATTCAGTTATGAGTTAAATTTGAACCTGGAACGACCCATTCTGATGACAAAACAGCTCATTCCAGATTTGAATGTGTCTCATAACAAACTGCACTGGAACGGCCCATTTTGGCCTGTTCTCAATTAGGGTTTTTGGGCCTTTTAGTAGCTTGGAACGGCCCGTTCCAGCTTGGGAATGACCTGTTCTGATTTTAGAACAACCCGTTCTGGGCTACTAAACCAAGTTTGTTTGGGCTTCAAACTCCCTTGTTGTCATATGGTGTCATCTCTATGCTTTGGGAGCTCCTTCTTTTCATAGTAGAAGTCCACTTCATTGTTTTGCAGGTTTGGATGAAGTTGAGTTACTACAGTTGCCCCTCTTTACTTGTAAAAAGTACTCTTAGGCAACACATTCAGAGAAGACCCGTTATCTACGAAGACCCTGGCAATGAGAAACTCCTTACACTTTACGGATACACGTAAGGGTTTATTGTGGTCTAGTTGACCATTGGGTATCTCGTCGTTGGTGAGGCTTCGTTTAAGACTTTAAACAGAGCCTTTCGATGTGGTTCAGAGCTCATGATTAACGAAAGCAATGTGATCTTTGCGGGGGTATGGTTAAGCTGATCAATGATGAAATATTCTCTTTATCAAATGAACTTGAGGAATTCATCTTCCTTGTCGAACTCTGTTCTTCTTTCCTCTTTATCCTTTCCTTTTGGGGACTTTTCCGAGTCTTTAGGGCTATAAGTGTATCCACTTCTAGTCATTCCCCCGATCCCGGTAATATTCGATGATTATGATGACATGGAGCTTTGCATGTCATAGATTCATGGCACTGCCTTGTCACTTTCATAGAGGAAAGGACTCAGCACTCGGATAATAAGCTTGGGCGCATTTTGCCCTTCATTTTATCGAGTACTTGCTAACCTTTTGTGCAGTGCTTCCCAATGTGATATTGCGGGTTTGCATTTGACGATAAGCGATTTCATTATCTAATTAACATGCACAGATTAGATTTGCCTTTTTATTCTTTATAATCTTACTAGAAAGGCGTATGTTCTAAATGAAATGCAGTATAGAATGCAAAGACAATCGAGGAATTCAACAAACATCATTCTCATTGATTTGTTTGTTTAGTGAACATTCTTCAAGCAATGCTTTTTAGTATGTTTTGACAAAATCTTAAGATTCTGAAGAAACTCAAGCTAGGCTGGGGCATAGGTAAGCTGTCTTCTGCCTTTAGGACATGTCTCTTCATCGCCTTCGCCTATTCGTGGACTGCCCTAATCATGTCATCACAGGCAGACTATGCTTCCTTGGCCTTCTTCTAATAGTATTTGTTCATTGTTTTCATCTCATGGACTGCTTCTAGAGCTTGGTCTCTTTGATGGGTAACTTTTTTGAGCAGCTCGAACCCCCTTTCTTCTTTTTGTCAAAAATTGGAAATGGTCATAGCTTGATCTTGCATGATCTCCCACCAAGATTAAATCTTGGTCTGGGCCTTGAACAACTCTCTTTGTGCTTGTTCTTTTTTCAATGTCTCTTCCTAGAGTTTGGCTTTGAGTTGTGCCACACTTGGCGAAGCTTCTGTGAGCGGCCTGTCTAAGTCGACCTTTGGAGTTTTCATTGGCTGGATATTTTTATCGGCACATTCATCCTTTAGCCTATCGATCTCCATGTCCTTTTTCTTGCACTTCCTTTACAGACCATCAATGCACATCTTGGATTTCTCGTCCTTTTCTTCAAGAACTTTTGTCTGGGCTTCTAGAATTTCTATCTTTTTGGTCAAAGAATCAATTTGACGTTGTTCGCTTAGGTCTGTCGTTCTGGCCGTATCCGTGGCTACTCTTTGGTTTCTCCATTTTTGATAATCACCCGAAGAAGTTACTTAAGGCTTGTCGAGCTCACTATCTCTAAAATAAAGTGGCTTATTCCAAACCTTTTTTATGACGTCAATCTGTGATTGCTTCCCTGAGGTGTAGAGGAAGCAAATTCCTCCAAAATCTTCTTGGTTTGGTAGAGTTTGTGTCCTTCCAAGTTGCCTTAGTACCAGCTTTGGTGAATATGCTATACATCCTCTTAATCCCATTAAAGGTAGATTAGAGAACCTGCCACATCGTACTAACATGTGACTTGGCCGAAACCAAGGACACATCCATGTGAGAGTTTCTTTAGTACAGTCCTCCATTTCGGCTTTCCATGCCATGGCGTACTTCCTTAGTGCAGGAATTCTATGAAAACTCCTTAATGGATCAGGTAGCTTTCCCATATGGTTCTTGGCAAAGAAATGAGTGTATTCCCACACGTAAAGGAGTGGATTGCAACATCTAATCTGTTTTCCCGATTTCTGTTGGCAGAAGTTGATCGTAATCAGGGTATCAGCAAGGATGGCAGGTATAGGACTATTCGAGTGAGCGTCCCAAGCAAAGAAAGCATCGATTGCAACATGATCTATCACCTTCTCATGAAAAGGGAAGAGGATTATTCCAAAAAAGATTAAGGCTAAGGTCTTGTTGAAAGTCATCCAGTTCCCTTGGTGAATCAGAAGGGAAAGATGTTCTTCCAAAATGGAGAGCTTCCATCCTTTGATGGCTCCATTTCCTTCCAGAATAGACAGGTGGAGGGGTAATCCAATCAATTCGGCTACCTTATCTGAGGATATACATCCTTCTTGGACAAAGAAGACTCCTCTTGACTTGGGCCACTTAATCATTAGGTCATAATCCTCAAGGGTGGGCACTATGTCGAAATGTGGGAAACGGAAGCAACGGAACTCTGGTTCCCAGAAATGTATCAAAGCTCTCATGAAGGCAGGATCCACGGATATTCTCAACAAGTCAAGGATTCTGCCATAGCGTCTTTCAAGTTCTGCTTTTGCTTCTTTTGGCATTAAGGCGTATAGATCGTTTACTCCTGGCATTGCGGAGCTCAGAATGTTCACTTTCCTAAACGGTCCATGCATGTTATTGCCTATGTCTTCCATATCTAAAGAGGAAGTTTATCATTCTAAAATAAATGCATAATGAATTTTTGTTGCCTACATTTTATCACGTTTTCTTTTTCTAAGGGTCATGATGCGTAAAGTGGAGCATACGAAAGTTTTTTTTTAATATTTGTTTTATTGCCCCCTAATCCTCATCCATTTGGGAAAGGAAACAACAAATGCAACAAACACATGCTCAAACAAACGAATCTTGGGTGGCATAAATCCATGGTCAGGGGTCCCTATCAAAGAAGAGTGCTTTGTATAGGACAGTTCTAATCTCACTGGTCTTTAAGGCTCCCAAGGTGCTCCCATTATAGGGACCCAGTATCTCTGTCGCTATCACCTGACAAACTTTAAGGTCTATCGTAGTATTTTAGGCTAGAGTAACTAGTTATCACCTTGAGTGTGATTTCCAACAAGGCTCGAAGGCTTCAAGGCCAAACTTGGGCCTGTCGTATATCAACCACTCCCTATGTTTATGCACTCATGCCCTCGAGTGTAGGTGGATTGTTGTGTGCTATGGTTTGTGTGCAGTTGCCATTTCAAACATGTGCCAAATTTAAACAAGCAAACAAATATTAAAGCCATACAAGTAAAACACACAATTAAAGGGGAAAAGATATTTAAACTATTATTCTTATCTTGTTAACTTCATCATTTATTTGGGCTTGACCCTCTTTAAACTTTCCTAGCGAAGTCGCCATCTGTCGTAACCCAAAATTTTTTTATCTTATGACTAAATGGTTTAGACTACCCTTTTTAAAAATCTCATCAATTTTGGAATGCCCGGAGACTAGACTAATCGCTAATTAATGGTTTTGAAAATGGATTCATGGAGTTGCCACCAATATTTTACTCAAAACATTGGGAAAAGAAAAGATTTTCTTTTAAAAAATCCAATAATGGCCTTCATAACCAAAATCGAGTTCGAGGGTCGGTTACGTGTAGGGTCACTAGGCATGCTCACTCGGTCTTAGTACTCTTATGATGAAGTTAACATGATGAGAATTAATTATTTAAATACTATATCCCCTTTTGTTAATGGTTATTTACATATGCGAAATTTAAATTTACACAATTATTTTTGAAGAGTCTACATATTGATTATTGGTTTAAGATGATATTTATCTAAATGAGATATATATAAAGAAGAAAAAAATATGAATGAAATACCTCGTAATTGAGCTCTTATTAGATCTTCAAGCTTGAGACTTCTTAGGGGGATTTTTGGCCACCTATCACACTACAATTCGCCTCACAAGTTCTCAAGAAATACAAAAATAAGAAAGAAGAGAAGAGATTTCGAGCTAGATGAACTTTTGAAGCAATTTTTTTGACCCCGAGAATAGTGCCTGAGTTACTATTTATAGACGTCAGACTTAACCAGAACGATTCGTTCCGAATTCAGAACAACCCATTCTGGGTCATCAATTATGAGTTAAATTTGAACCTGGAACGACCCGTTCTAATGATAGAATGAATTGTTTCAAATTTGAACGTGTCTCTTAACAAACTGCACTAAAACAACCTGTTTTGGCCCGTTTTGGCCTATTCTCAATTAGAGTTTTTGGGCCTTTTAGTAGCTTGGAACGACCCATTTTGGGCTACTAAACCAAGTCTGTTTGGGCTTCAAACTCCCTTGTTGTCATATGGTGTCATCTCCATGCTTTAGGAGCTGCTTCTTTTGCATTGTAGAAGTCTACTTCATTATTTTGCGTTTCGGATGAAGTTGAGTGTCTACACTAACACCAGGCGAGAGAGAGAGAGAGATAGGGTGCTTTTTGTTTTCCCTTAGCGCTAGGCATGGTTGTATGAAGCCAAGCATTGAAATGTTTTGCACCCTTTGTTCTGGCTTAGGGTTACGTGTGGCCTGGTGAAGCCCAACGCAAACAATGAATATGTCATATATTGATGAATTTTGATGATGGTTGTGAATGGTATAATGTCTAGTGGTGACTATTGTATGATTAAGTATGAATGGTGTGTATTTGGATGAGTTGATGTACAAATGTGAGTGGATGTGGCTTTATATTTAATTGGCATTGGCATAGATAGAAATGATGAATGGATGAGGTTACATGACATGAGAATTTGCGAATGTTGCATACACATTTATTTTGGCCATAAGTGGTGATTAACAGGGAAATCTGTATACACTGGCTATAAGTGGTGATTAACAGTGACATTGGTCATAAGTGATGTAAATAGTGTGGCCATGCGTGGCGGTGCCTAAGGAGGTTGATGAAGTTCACCCATTGTGATGGAAATCTAATCCCCAAGGATCCCTTTGGAAGAGGTAAGACCAAGAAGGGTGAAGGTTGATCTAAGGAGACTCACACTTGAAGACCATTGGGCCTTTAACTAGGTCCAAGGTTACGAGGCTAGAGGAGGCTTCTACAGAGGAGGTGCTTCTTAGACCAATGTTCAATATGAGTATTGAGTATGATATTCCTCTTTTTAGTCTCATAGTCTCTATTGTACATACATTGTATAGTTTGATTTCTTGTACCTTGTATATAGTAGATACTTGTTTAGGTGTATTTTGCCTTTGTATTTGTGAGACACTTTATTTCCTTTTATTAGCTATTGTATATTGTTTCTAGGGTAGGTTACTTGGGCACTTTGACTCCATTTAACCTAATCTAGAAATACACTTTTTTCTTATTTTTTTAGTAGTAGGATTGGGAGTGGCATTAGCAAGCTAGAGAGTGTTACTAGCAATTGGACCAGAGATGGGCCTAGGCAAAATTTTACATATTAGACTCATTTTGCTCCTAATTTTTCATAGATTTGATTTAGCTAGGTTCCATTCACATTGGATGAACCTAACTAAACCAAATCAACATTTTCAAAATCGGTTGGAGCAAAACTAAGTCTATGAGCCGCCCACCTTGCCTAGTGTTCACATGGCCGAATTTTCTTATTCTTCTCAAGCCTAGAAGCTTGAAGCACAAGCTTCTCCTTAGCTTGCTTACCAAGCAAGCTAAGTGAGTAGCTTGCTCTCCAAGCCTCTAGACCATGGACGGTTAGCTAGACCTTACCATGGTTCTTAGTGAACCATGGTTAAGGCTAGCTTGCTCTACAGGCTTCCTACTCCTATATATTTGTTTTTCCTTCATTGTAAAACACTTTTGGCATATATTGAGATTTATTTCTGAAGATTGTTCATATTTCTCTCTTCTAAAAGTCCCTAAACCTCTTTGATATTCATCCAATTCTCTTATTCCTTCCCTAGAAGAGTGTGGTGAGAATTAAAGAGACTTATCTCTTCATCAAGGAGTGGTGTCTCTTGCGAGAGTTCTCCACCAAACCGTGGTGGCTCTAAGGTCTCCTCCTCCATTGGAGACCTTAGGAAAGCTTAGGAAGAATCAAGGAGCAAAAGATCTAGGAGGAGCTTGAAGAGGAATCACATCAATCTGGTTTCTCCACAAGTTTTCCATCACATTGTGTGGTGCTTTGAGTTGATGCTTCTTAGGAGGTTGCATTGCATATGCATTGACGTGAGCATAAGCATGATTCATGTGTATGAATGATGATGTGATAGTGGTGATATTAATTGATGTACATTTATATATGAAATAATAATATTATTATGATTGGTTATTATTGTGAATCCTATGAGGGTTGATTATATATTTCGGTGGGATTCTTTTCTTGTGTCATACATATGAATAACCGTTTTTCTCACTCATATACATTGTGGTTTTATTTTATGTAATGAGATAAGTGGTGAGGCCGGTACTCAAGGTACGAGAGCTGAAATGATGGGTTTGCTCTGATAATGTGATATCGGGGCAATGGGATTAGAATAGGATTCTACCTTTTCATGTTGATTTCTATTTCCGTTTCATATTTAAACATTGTTGAAAAATTTATGTTATATAATTGTACCTTTTCATATTTTGTATGTTTTGCAGACGAGAATCCTCAGTCTTGGAAGGAGAAGGGAGAGATCTAAGTTCGTGTGAAAACTCTAATGCCAATGTGACATTGGGGATCTGGAGTAGTTAGGAAATTATGTTACCTCTTTTTTTTAGTTCAGTACTTTTAAGTTGTAATTTGTTTACCATTGTTGCGTTTATTTACTTTACAGATGAATTGGTTTACTCTATTTATAATTTCTATGAGGATGAGTTGAGAATTTATGAGTTTAATTGTACCTTAATTGGTATCTTTCTTAGGGGTAGATGAGTGTCACACATTGAATGAGGGGAACTGGTGGAGAAGACTAGGAGAAGTGAAGTAAGACCTCCTCCTTGAATCCGCCAATGCTAGGATCTTCTTCAAAGGAGATTAGAAACCGTGATGAAGAACACTTGAAGACAAGAGAAACTCGGATCTAGGTTTCCTAAGCTATGGAGGGAAGTATCCAAGCTCAAGAAGCAATGGATTACTCACTTCAAAGAGAAGAAGAAGATGAACTCCTAAGGTTTTGAGGTGAGTAATCTTGGTGACTTTGAAGGGGAGAAACTCGGCCAAAGGCTCTCAAATTTCCATTCAATATTCAAAGTGAGTACAATAGGTGAAGGAGGGAACATATATGCATCCGAAAATATGAATACACTTGGCGCCACATGAGTGGTCACCATGTTGGCGCCAAGATTTGAATTCAAATTTGAATTTGAATTCAAATCTTGTCACACATGTGTATGACCGGTCCCATGAGTGCTTGGTGCATTTGGTTTTGATTTAGTGTGCATTTAGGGTTGAATTTGAGTCACACATGTTCAGCCAAGGTGGCATGATCCATGTGACTCAAAATGCAACTTAAATGCATGCTAAATTAAACCTAGTTTACCCTAATTTAACTAAACTAGTAATCCTCCTTTAATCCTAATCTAATGGCCTAATTACAATGGCCAAACAAATACAATGGAAAGGAAAAATTACAAGAATGAAAATGAGCCCAATATTGGGTACCAAAAGCCCAAAGGCCCATGAAGCCCAAAACTAGGCCCAACTAGCCTAAAACCTAAAATGCTACTCTATGTGGTCCA